TTATTCATCCTACTGTCTATTTGTCTTTCCTTCGGGCAGATCCAAGTGCTCTTTTTGTCAATATTTTTATTTCCTGTAGCACAAAGTGTACAGTATGTGTAACTGGATAGGCACCATTGTGTGGGAAATACGAAAGCGCTATCAATATATATACTCTGACCCTGGAGATACCAGCTGATTTGTGTGTTACTGGGAAGTCTGAGTTCTTTGCTACAGCTGTAAGATAATGTAAAATCACGATTATAAAAGATAAATGATAAAACAAAGACATAAAAGTAAACATTTCAGAGCACAAATCCTTCCCATTATCTTTAGGTGACACAAACCAGTAACTCTGAGAAAACAAACCTATAGACGGATGCTTGTGAATGGTTTGTTACACAGTGCCCTTTCTGTGCTGCTGAATGTGGCCAAGAATAGATATGACACCAGAATCATCTGCAGGCCATGCACACGTTCCATAAGGCCCAAAGGATGGAAGCTTTGAGACCTGGGGACTGTATTACAGGGCGAGTTGAAAATACCTGGGACATCTTTCTGTTACATGGCTCCACTAAGCCTAACAGCCACAACAATGCTAAGCAGTCACAGTGACCCTGACACTGCTTATAAACACAGTAAGTCAATCCACATTTTTTGGGCTTAGCTGTGTGCAAGTTCATGTAAAAAGCTTGGTGCTGTCGCCAGATGACAAATCGCAGACACGGACAGCTGCACATTTTTTATATGAAGAATAAACTTTAAGCTAGGAACAGTATGACGAATTAAAAGAACATAATACAGGCTCAAAGCAATACAGATACTGCAAGCAAAGCCAGAAAGGAAAGACTGCACACTCTGTCCTGTCATTAAAGCAAAGGAAGATATTTCTGCAACTACATCTGTGTACGCTATAAAAAGTGTTTCTTATATGCATTCAAAAGGTGTGTAGGACATGTTTATCCTTATTCCTTCAGCTGGAACCATGACCGAGAATCCAAATTCCTCTCAAAACTGGAGACACTCACACTATCCCTGCATTGAGCAACACAGGATCTTCTAAAAATTGTGCTGCTATTTTTTTAGAGAATGGGTTGGTCAGCTGGTCATGGTTTTCTGTGATCTGTTATGATTGAATTATCATCTTTATATAACTCTTTTAGAAGTAAACCAGTATAACTTTGCAAACCCAGATTTAAAACTAAAGTTATCTCACTAATCCCAAAATCTACCAGTCTCAAGTTCAAGCTGAAGAAGAAGACATTTATCAGGATTCAACAGGATTATTGTTAATTTTATGAAAGTCGGGATGGAAGCAGAAGATACCATTTACTCACATGTCACTGGCAATGGAGGAGTTTCGCGACATGGACTTGGGTGAGAGGTCATAGTCGCTGTCAGAGCGGTAGAGGAATGACTCTCTCCGTTGACTGTGGACAAAATTGGCCTGCAGGATGAGGCCTGAGCCCGGGCTGGCCATTGGGTCCAGGGGGCTTCGACCTGATGATGTGCCATTGTCCACATCGAAACTGTAATTAGATAAAGACAAAAGAACAAATATCAGAATCATTATGTGAAAAAAGTTATTTGATCTTGCAAACTGAGATTTCTACCACTGACAGATTCAAGCAACATTTCTGAAGTTTAATGGTGAAAAAAAAAGGAAGGGAAGTTTCCAGAATAAAACCCAATTATCTATGCTTCCTGAAAACACAGGATTTATGCACACATTAGTCACATGTTAGCAGTGCTGATGACTTTTCATTGCAGCACCAGGCTCTCATGTCCACTGGTTGGTTTTGTAATTCTCCAAATCCATAGTTAGGTTCATACCAGACATGGTCTTAATTATTAACATAGACCGTACAGAAAAGAAGGTCTTTATAATATTTTTTTTTGATTTCTGGTTGGGGGACTTTGTGAGCAAGACTAAGCCATTACGCTGAGTTTTTCTCCCCCAGAGCAATATCGCTGACACAGCCCAAGTATCAGCCTTACACTCCTGGGACCATTCATTATGCATGGGCTGTCTCTTTCCCACTCACTCTCTCTGTTATATGTTATAATCCAAGTGTCACTGATATCCACGTGATGTCCAGTGTAGGAATTGCATACATGGCATAGGAATAAAATAAAACAGAAGAAGTTTGATGTGCAGTTTTTTCTTAATCTGCCCAATCTAATGTGCATAACATGCTGGACTTATTTTCCACCCTAATGAAACTTTTAAAAAGTTTTAAAAACTTTTGTAGGGTTTAGCTTCCAGGTCTGAAAAGCAAAGCATACAACCTGCATTCTGTTTATTTGCCAGCGGGAAGCAAATATGTGGCTCAAAAAACAGAAATCCAGCTGTAGAAAGGTCAATGTGAAAACAAATTTATATTCCCCTTGGATAATTACCACGGTAAAAACTTATTAAATGGAATAAGATAATCATTTTGTATATTATGGTACCTGCTAGGGCCCATGAGGGTAGTAATCCAACGCAACGAACAGAGCAGACCTACCCTACTACGCAAATCACATCTTCCCGACACAATCTGATCCACATCACACTTTAAAATCTAAGCTGGTGACAGACAAAAAATGTCCTTATTTTTTTCTATACAGTCTATGATTCACAACGAGTTTAAGGGAGAGATAAAAGCATCTTATCACCCCAATCACAATCACTTAATTAATTTAAGATTGGATCATCAACATAAAATAAACTGCGTAATTCTGACACATTTTTAGTTCTCTTTATCTGAATGAGCCTTACACATTAGCTTTGAAGAGACTAGCTTGCCTTAACAAGTCATTACTAGACTAGCTCCACTTGGCTAACTAGCATGAGCAAAATGAGCATATGGCTATAGCCATATGCTCATTATGTAATAATTAGCATATTATTACATAATGTTGTTATTCATCTTATATTCTTACATGTGCCCTGTCCACCAACACAAAATGTGTTCTTAAAGAAATAGTTCAACACACAGTCACACAATCCCTCCGTTTTTCTCCCTTACATCCTGTTGCATTTGACTTCCGCAGCTCTAGGGATAACACGCTCAGCCATTACCCAAGGTGATGAGCTGTGAAAAAGCATAACGCACGTCTACTCCATAGGTATGTCAGCCCCACGGGTCCACGCTACTCGTGGACTGTTGGCTGATATTAAATTACTCACGAGTTTCATCTATTACAATTATAATGAGCCATTAATTTATTATGTGGCTGATTAGGATTGGTGGCAGGCTAATTAGCACATCATTAACAGCAAATGACAAATGTTGCACGATACAGAGCCATCAAACATACAACTACAGACATTAACCTTTGTTTAAAGACTGCATAGAGAGCCACTGGGAATATCCCTGCTCCAGTAACGCCACTGACTCATAGCTGAGAGGTATTTCTTAACCAGTGACACCATTTCCGGCTGGGACGTCATGGTGAGCTTCTTAGTCTCCTAGGTGATTGTTCACCCAGGTGATGACTAACGCTAATCATCAGGGATATCTGCCTTATTGCTACAGCTACTAAGCAGTCCCATAATCTTGTCTGGTGTAAATGCAAAGGTCAGGGGGGATTCCCCTCAGGAAGCTGCTCAGTGCACATAAGAATGACATCTCTATCATTATAATTATTATCTTCTTGATTATCAGCATCCTCTGAAATAAAACTAACACAGATTTAACCTGTCAGTGGTGTCCAGTACTCGATCATCTTCCATGTGGAAGAGCACAGGATGTCCAAGAACAGAGCGAGCACTTCAAGCGTGCACAAATACATGCTTGCATAGTATAGAAAGAATGTCCCTAAAACATTACTGAAACATTCCTTCTCACTACAAAATGACAAATTATTGATCTTGTATGATTTCTGCAGTTTATTTCCCAACTTAACCCTTCATAAGTATCATAGAGTCATAATTCTCATCTTTCAGGAACCATTTTAATGTTCTCTCTAGACCAAATTGGTTGAGAAGTTACGGTAACCTGAAACACATAGTAAAATCTAGGAAGGGCTGATTTTTTTTACTGTGTTTAGACAGCAGTGCCTTGTGAGTGCTTTGTGCTACCGTGATACACCAAATATCTTCACAAAGCTCGTTTTCCCTTCTTTCGGAAACCGTTTGAATTTTGTCTCTAGCACAAATGGTAAAGGTGTTACAGTCGTTTGAAGACTGCTTATAAAATGGGCCCGCCGCCGGGTCGATGGTTACAAAAAAAAGAGGGGCTAAGCAAAAGACAACTCACTGACCCAACAGCCACATCTAATGACTTTATAATGACAAAATCTGGATTTTTGTTTGTGAACACGAGGGACTTTGTGAGGAAGAACAAGTCATTATACTGAATTTTCCTCCCCCAGAGCAATATCGCTGACACAGTCCAAGTATCAGCCTTACACTCCTAGGACCATTCATTATGGATGGGCTGTCTCTCTCTCCCACTCACTCTCTCTGTTACATGTTATAATCCAAGTGTCACTGATATCCATTTGATGCACAATGTATGAATTGCATACATGGTATAGAAATAGGAATACAATAAAGCAGATTACATTTGCAGTGCAGTTACTTTGTAATCTGTGCATCTAAATGGTCAGATACCCAAGGTAATACACAGGACATGCTGGGCATATTTTCTACAGTAATTATATGGTTAAATGTCACCGATGTAATCTCATGGAGTGGCAGAAAGATAAACAAGTGCAAGCTTCGATTGTGGAATTTGATAGTTTGGCTATCTGCCTTATGCAAGAAAAGGCAACGGTATTGCCCTTGTCACCTTGCAAAGTAGTTTGCAGTCATGATACATGACTATATCTATCTTTCTCTCTCACACACACAAACACACACACATACAAACACATGCCTACTCAAACTCTTAAAACAGCTCTTGCCTTGCATATCACCCCATCTCCTTCCCAAAGTACTTCTCTTCTAGAAGTGTGTCACTCTAAACCAGTTTTATCTTCACTCACACACACAACCCCCTTTTCCACACACTCTTTTATCACGTCAGGTAATCCAACTGTTTTCCTCACTGCAGGTGTGAAAACACATACTCACACAAGTGACTGATAAGTTGGCATTCCTTGCACAAGTCGGTCCGTTCTCCAGCTGCTCTGTAGTGAAGTGTTAATGGGTGTGCGGCTCATGTGTGCAAACAGGACAAAGATGACACCGTGAAAGTGTTGAAACGGAATACTCAGGCATATGCGTAACGACCGATTCATTATCGCACCTACTTTGACATCACCGTCTACTCCCATTTGCGCCTAAAACCAGAGACACGTAACCCCTCTCACAGCATGCGAGGGTATGTGTACAGTGTCATTCCACAGACACACCCTCTTCAGGAATGACACAATGGAGCTACGTGCTTGAATTAGTGGGGTATTGAACGGGCAATGACATCATAGTGGGAATATATCGCTTTTTTCCTGCGTTCAGCAAGCAGAAAACAGAAAAACAGAATAACGTCAACACCCCTATGACTATCTTGTCACAATCAATAACAACACATGAGTAAATACATGAGAATTACTGTTAAAAAACAGGGGGGGAAAACCCTGTGTTACCTCAGGGCTTAAGAGAATGGAAAACCTCTGTTTACCCAAAAATGAGTGATCCAGAAATGAGATATATATAATAGGCAAGGAAATAAACATTTGATCTGCAAGCACTAGATTGATGACAGAAAGCTCTTTAATAGAGTTCCAGACTTCCCATCTGCTGAACATCATAAGGATAACACTTGTCTTATTCCACATCGAAAGGTTTAAGGTCACCATAACTATTTTGTCTTGGACAAAATAAGGGACAGAAGAATAGATAATAAGAGTCCAGGCTAGTTTTGCACTGGCCTTTCCTTTTTTGCACATGGTCAGAAAGCTTCCTTGGAATAGGTTTGTCAATTTGGGCTAAAATGCCAAATAGCTATAGTTATACACAAGTTTATAACAAAAACTTCATTAAATGCACTTTTCCAACCTATTAATTTATATAAATATGTCTCTCTATTACACGTAAAGCTCAACATCAGGCCTGTGTGAGAAGATGATTCACTGAAAAAAAAGAGAAGAGGACACACGTGCTAACATAAAAGTACCTTAAAGAGTGCGTGGCATCAACAGTGCGCAGCTACAAGAGCATACATGAATATTTAGAGCAAAGTTTCTCACAGGAGTGGAGTTTCATGTTTGAGTTTGGGTTGCATGGGGGGGAAAAGGGAGGGTTGACTGTTGCCAAAAACCTTTTAAATTTACTGTAGCAAAGCAGTGGTCCATTTAAAAATACGAAACTTTTAAGCGCACTGAGATAGATGAATAGTGGCTGCTGTGACTTTCTACTGCAGGACGTGGCTGGGTCACATACATGCCTAAGGACACTGCACAGCTCTTTTATCCCCTCTCTTTTTGTGTCTGGCTCTCCATCATTTTTGTCTCCGTCAGTTCTCCCATTCTGTCCGTCCGTCTCCCGCACACACTCTAAATGGCATATATCACTGACTCATTCATTTTTAGCCCTGGGTTA